GAGTCTTTAACCCCCAGGCTGGAGGCCATGATTTCTCTTCTCCTCCTTGCAATCTCTCGTAACTCCATCTCACTGTAGAAATCCAATGGTGTGGCTACCACCCCTGTCTTCACGAGTTCCCGGGTCTTGATAATTCACTCATGTTTGATCACATTGAGCAATTGTTGAAACCAATGGCTGGGCCTTGGCCCAAACTCATCCTCCCATCTCAAGACCCCTTTGCGCGGCTGGTGTATCGGGGACCGTCTCTCTTTTCTAGGCCTCGAGATTTCATCCTTCTCATCCCCACTGCTGATCTCTATGACCTCCTGTACTTCTCCTCATCCTCCTCTTCTTCCGTCTGTATGGGGTTGTACCCACCCGTCAAGCTCTTTCGATCGTAGCTATAGGGAACCTTTGTCCTCCCTCCATATCCTTCTTTAAAGTCCGGATACCTCCCCTCACAACTGTTGTGGCCGCTCCGCTCTTCAAGCGGACTTTCCCTTCTGAGCCTTCTTTCCTCCACATCCTCATGTTCATCACACATGTCCTGTCCCCTCTCGCTTTCCCCATTCGAAGACTCACGCTGCTCGCATTTCTCGGCCCCTTCTTTGTCAGTGGCGTGGGTTTTTTCTCTCATATCCGCTTTGCCCCCTTCTCCCACACTCGCCCTTTCTTACCTCGCTCTCACTGTCGGATGGGATATATATAGGCGAAGGTCATCTACACACACGCTTTCTTGCACCCCTGCCCACCACTTGCTTGGACATGAACCCTATGTACAATTTTCTCTTGACAATCCTCCGCTCTCGACTTGGTCCCGCTTCTCCCTCTTCGGTAGGTCTGTTGACTGCCCCGCTATCGTTCTCGTTGCCGAATTCCATTTTGCTTTTCTCAGGTTTTCTTCCTGACGCTGTAAAACAGAACAACACCCGCCAAGCCCCTCATACACACGTTCCCCCAGTCCGGTAGGCAATTCCCCTTTCCCCAGTATGTTTCCAGTACCATTCGCATCATGCCACTATTATACATTCCCTTTTCATGCAAATGTCCCATTTGCGATGATCCCATTATTTCCCCTTCAAAAACTATGATATAATGCTCCCGACAATTTTTTCTCGTCATCACACGAAACCCGTTAGCGCAAGGTCCCAAGTCATCCTGCCTTCCAACTTCAGTCAGTCCAGACCATTGCCCCAACCCCAAAAAAATGACAGTCCCACGGACGCAGTTAGATACAAAACCATAGTGTGGGCAAGGCCGTTGTCAGTCCTTAGGTTGTAGCCCCTCACTTTTCTTATCCTCGGCCTCCTGAAGCCATTGTTTCATTGAGTCCCGACTTAGAAACCTGACCAATCGTTGCCCCGGGAAGGATCCTTTCAATCCAGTTCCATCTAGATCGTCCAGTTTGAAGATGTTAAGTCCCACCCTCTTGGCGATGCAGTAGGGGCCTTTGAACCTCCTCCCCAGTTGTCCACATCAAGTACTTTCTAATGCCGAGTTCCTTAGCAATACTGTCTCCCCCACCTGAAGTGACTCCTTTCTGACATTCTTAACCTGGTCCCACCTTGCTTTGTCCCTCATTCTGCTGTCTAGTACCCGGTTGGCGATGTCTTCCATGACCTCCTCGTTCCTAAGAACTTGTTGACATCTTGCCTCAATCAGTTCTTCCGTTGTCATATGCGGATCGTCATGTAACCTACTTCAAGTTGGTATCGAGGCTTCTACGGCAAAATCGATCTCTCTTCCGTACCAAAGTTCCGCTGGGATACATCCCGTTGTCCTCTTAGGTGTCATGTTCTCTGAGAAGATAGCCTGCTTAAGGTACTTAGGCCAGCTCCCCATATTGTCCGCTGCGAGTTTCGCAATCGTGGTCTTTAAGGTCCAGTGCCCTCTTTCGATATGTGCATTGGCCTCCGGATGATATGGCTCGACGAGCTTGAACGGTACGAAAAGCCTCTTAAGCATTCCCAACACGTCTTGGTTCACAAATTTTGTCCCATTGTCTGCTATAAACCTCCTGATGAAGGGATGCCTCAAGTAGAAGTCTTCTATGAAATCCGCTACACTTCTCCCTGTCTTTTTCTTGAGAGCGACCGCCTCTACGAACCCACTCAAGTTGTCTTTTGATACCTGTACCCATCTGTTGATACAGGCATGACCACAAGGTCAAGGCGGACCAGATGTCCCGGCCCCAGCACCCGCGTTGGTCTAAGCGGCTCGAAGACGCGTGCCAAGCTCCGTTCTTGGATGATCAGTCAGGTCTGGCAGTACGTGGCGACCATGCCTGGCCAATAATAGAGCGGCGTTATCTTCGCAAGAGTCCCTTTGGACGATCGATGTCCTCCTGCTAGTCTGTCGTGCATTGCCTGGATCACGTCCAACTGCCTAGATCTCCCACACACAACTCTTCTAGGCATAGCAGCTTCCTCTCTTCGGAACAGATGACCGCCCCTTAGGACGTACCTCTCAGCCTTCTCCCTTGCTTTAATGCTGACTTCCATGGGTTGTTTGTTTCCTACCAGCAACAACCCAATCTCCCGAAAGATGCCTTCGTATATCTGGGCATAAAAATACTCCTTCACTTCCTGGTCCTCATCCGTTCTCTCCTGCATCTGGTTCACCATCCACCGCAACTTTTTCCTTTCCCAAGATTTCACTAAGCTCATCACGGCTTCCCTGCCTCCCTCAACCGCCATTGCTATTAGTTCCTCCTTCTGTCCTACTATCGCTCCCCACGAATCTTTCTCCTCTTTGCGACCTCGAGTGGTGACTGGTCCTTCTCTAAGTTCTGCTACTACGGCAGGTGCCCCCTTCTACAAAGTTCGGATCAACAGTTCTCCCGACAAGCATTCTTCGCTCATCATTTCGTTATCCACCGCAAGAGTTCCTCCTTCGTATTCAAGGAACACGTCTATGGGCTTCACACCCTCCACCCCTTTGGGAGTGATGCAGACCTGACTCAGCCCATCGGCCTTGTTTCTGATTCCAATAATTCGTTCGATCTTGTAATCGAACTGCCAGATAAATCCTATCCATCTCCCCACCGTCGAATCTATAGGTATGTAATTTTTTGAGGCCCCTGCAACATTCGTCGGATCGATCCTTAAGATGAACCGCCTCCCAAATAGGTAGGTCTGGAAGGTCTTGAGACAATGCAAGATGGCTAAGACCTCCTTCTTGAACTGCGAGTACCGTCGTTCTGTGGAGTTCAGGGTTCTACTTTCGAATCTAATTGACCTCTATTTTCCTTCCTCATCCCTTTGAATCAGTACGCCTCCTACGGCCAAGGGTCCTCCATCCGTCACTAGGATGAATTGTCGTCGCACTTCGTCATTAAAGCAGGGTGCGGACAAGGTGACTTGCTCAGATGTCAGTATGTCCTTGAGGGCTTAGACGGCTCCTTCTTGTTCCTCCGTCCAATCCATAGTCCCTTTTTCTCTGATCATGGCCCGAATAGGCTCAACGATCTTGGCAAAACTTTTAATGAAAATCCTCCAAAAGCCAACCACGCCTAAGAACGCTCTTACCTCCGTTGTCGTGCGCAGAGGCGTTGGCCACTGTGATATCTTGTCAGTCTTTGTCAGATCTGGCTTCCTACCGTATGCAACTACTATGCGCCACAGCGAACTCATAGTACGGTTACTTCCGGTACTGCTAGAATACTTTTAGGTCCGCTAGCCGTAATGTTGTATACTAGGAACCGGTGGAGTAAGTGCTTGATGTCCTGCAGATGGTCCCATACAAATTTTCGGATTCCCGGTTGCACCTCTGTCTCGTCCTTCTCTTGGGCGCCTTTGATCGGGTTGTCATCGATGTAGGGCTCACACTTCTCTGGGAACATGTCTTCGGCTACGGCGAGCATTCTCCTTTGTGCTTCGGCTACCTCGTTCGTAAAACCCATAGGGGTCACCTGCATCTACAGCTGTCCTACGGGGTTGTGCATTGCGGTGTATGGTCTGTCCCGAACATCCAACGAAAGCTGGTCGTACCCTGAATACAGATTTATCAGGGAGTAAATGCTCCGGTCGGCGTGCGACTCTGCTAATAAATCGGCCTGAGGCAGTGAGCCAGCATCCCGGATGGTTACCGCATTCAACTTCTGCAGAATCGAATCCATCTCAGCGTCTTATCAGGCTTCAGAAAGACGAACCACCGGTTTGCGTATGGTGACGCCGTAGGTTCTGCGACGAAGGAGTTCATCTTTGTTCGAAGAAGGTCTGTCACTTCCCCCCCTATCTCAAACTCATAGGACAGACCCTTGTCATTCCAGCACTCATGCTCTACCGTGCCGATTCTGACCGGAGGAATCAGCTTCGCGTCCAGCCGCTGCTTTTGGTGATCACTAAAGACAAATGTCAGGTAAAACTCCTGGCAGGTCCTTTTGATCAGGTGGGTTTCTTCTTCCGTTAAGAATCCGTCTACCCCTATCTTCATTGTATCAACTACCTCATCTGGTATTCGATGCCCTTCCGTCGCTCTCCTCTCTCGGATCACTCGAAGGACTTCCTCCTCCTTCTCCATAACCTCTTCCTTTGATATCTCTAGGAGGATCAAGACCGACTTTGCTTTTTTCCCTACCGGCTTGTACTTTCGAACACTTTCTTCCGGGATCTTTCTCCTAAAAAATAAACGGTCGAGATTACCCTCGTCACCTCTACGATTCGTGGTTGAATATTGACAAATTTTTCATTTAGACAATATCCCTTTCGCACTTCTCCTTCGAATTTGGCCAATGTCGCCGAGTCCACTCCTACACTGTGGTATCTGATCGCCTTGATGAGCTGTAACAAATCGGGAATCTCGAGTGCGACTTCAGGCACGTCCATGCGCACTTCTTTCCGCTTGGGCAGGCTGGCTCCGAGTTCGACTTCTGATTCCTTTTCTGCCACCATAACACCTAAGACTTCGTGTTCCTGCCTCCTCTTCTTCTGGGGTAGACCCATCTTGATCCATTCCTTCTTATTGAATGTTTCCTCGATCATGATTTCTACCCTTTCTCTCATGCCCTCCATCCGCACAAAAACCCCCTTCCGCGCGCTATCTTCGAAAGATGGTGACCATGTTGCTAACTTCCCCTTCGGAGGGTCTCCTCCCGTCCCAAGGAGTCGGAGGAGCTCTCCCCGGCCGGTTACTGGGTCCTCTATGTCTACCATGTACGTGCCATCGTGAAAGTGCATACCTATCATTTCTACGTTTGTGCACCACGGTTTCCCGATGATTATGTCGTGGTTCATTTCCTCCATTACGGTCATCCGATGAAACGACCAGATCGACTCCCTGATTCCTGCTTTGACTGCGCATTTCGTGACACACCCAGCAAACGGAACTTCCCCACCGGCTCCCCGGATGCTCCCTATTACTTTCCTATTTACCTTACAACCCGTGATTGTTGCGAATTCTCTCCTTATGAGAGTGATTTCCGCTCCCCCGTCTACTAATGCGTCGGTATGATAAGTCCCGATATGGATTTTCAACTTTCCTACGGGTAACGCATGGAAGCTGAGCTTTGTCCCGGGAGGTGCCCTCATCAACTCGCCACCTTCTCGGTCTGGCAAGCTCAAGCGGATGTCCACAAAGGCTTTCTCGAGATCCTCCAAATCCCCGCGACTCCTTTGAAGGTTAGCGACTTCTTGCGGAGCTTCCTCCTCCCTTTCCTCTTCCGGTGATTCGGGGTTTTCGTCTATCTCTACTCGCCGCCGAGTCAACAGTTGTCTAAGCCCTTTGAGCAGCCTAGGGCCGACCTGCCGCATGGTCCAAAACGACACCGACACCATGGTGCCTAGTAATTTGTTAAGGGTGTCATCGATCTCAGGCATGGTTAAGATCGAAATTTGATACCTAAACTTCTCTTTCGCAGCGGTAACTTTGTATGTAGGCTCCTCTTCCCTAGGCTTCCCATAGATTTTCTCTGGTTCCTCGGCATCGAGCTCTGCCTGGGGTACGGAACTTGCAACGACCTCCTCCATCATGGTATCACGGATAATCCTTCTCCCAGTCGTCCCTAGCCGAGTAGTCGCGCTCACCCTATCACGTCCGTCGTTTTCCAGAACGAAGTTAACCTGCGGCCCACGTCCCCGAAGTTGATCCTAGATGATATCGACCACCGGCTCAACTTTTACGACCGCCATCTCTAGCTCATTGAGCATGATAATGACTCGCCGCATCCCCCCTTACGAGTTCCAATTTACCCGTTCTCCCTGCGGTCCGAATATCTTTCTCTTTAATGACCTGGTACATCTCCTTTTTAATATATCATGGTTGAGTTTTGGACATGCATGCAGAAAATGTCCCACCGCGGTGCAGTACTTGCATTGCTCGTTAGCGGGATCTCTCCGTCCGAATCCTCGATTGGCTACTCCTGGGGGAACTACGGCTTCCTAGGAGGGAAGGCGGGTCGGGATACTTGCGCATGCATAACCAGTAGCGCGTTCTCCACCCTTTCAATCTTGTTGTCGACTCCGTGCACCCGTTCATGTAGACTTTCAATCCCCTTCTTTACCTTGTCGCCTGTCCTATCAGTCAGATCTATAACCTCCCCTTCCTTGAGCAAGGCCAACGTCTCGGTCACTACTGTCTTCTCGGCCAGATCCGTTACTGTGCTAAAATCAACAACCCTGGTGTTTACAAACTTGCTCGTCTGTTGGTAAGCTGACAAAATCTTGTCTTTGTCGAACTCGGCGAACTGCCTTAGGAAGTATTTGTTCATTATCCGGCCCGTAACCCCGGGGATCCTTAGTGTTACCAGTGTAAACTCCCGTAGGAAGTCATTGTATGTTGCGAAGTTCTTCCTTTGAACTGCCGCTACATCGGCCTCCGTTGCCATTTTCATCGCTGCCAGGTATTTCCTCATCATCACATCCCTAGTTTCCTTCCAGGATCGACTCGCAACTACGATGGCCATTATGTCTCGCCTCAAGCTCAAAGACACATGCTGCCCCATGTGGTCCATCTTTTCTTCTTCGGTCCATTTCAACAATGCGGCCATATTCTCGTATTCTATTAGGAATTCCGTGATGTTCACCCCGTCAAACGTCAACTTTTTCTTAGCATCCACAGTGCTCGCACGAGGGACGATACTATCTTCCTAAGGTCGCCCTCAGAGCTATTGGCCTCGCCCGCCATACTGGTATTCTGCCCTTCTTTCCCGGCCTTCTATCCCTCCCTAGTCTTTGTAGTTCCTTCCGGGTCGAACCATCTCAACACCCTTTCCCTAAGGTTCCAAAGTCCTTCACATCCTCGTGTTACCGCTGGCGTGGTCGGCAGACGGTTAACCCTGCTATCTATGGCTGGTGGGTTCGTAGCTTTCTTTTCCTCCATCCCCGGGGATTTCGCTCTCTCCTTCCTCCTTTTTCTCGGTGTTCCCCCACGGTCACTGCCCTTATCCCCTTGCCCAATTCCACCTCGACCGGTTTTCCGTTCGTTCCACGGTTCTTCCTGCAGGGGTCCTTCTTCGTTCTCAGTCATCATTTCTTCAATCAATCTTGCCTTGTACTCTGCGGTCATTTTTTCCATCTTTACTAGTTAGTGCTCGCATTCATGACCCTTACTTTCTTAGACACAACTCCCTCTGAATTTCGGGGGCTTATCCTATCCTTATTTCTGCCCTCCTTGGTCTCAAGAGTCCCTTACCTGCTTCCCCCGGCTTTCCCCGAACTTTCCCCTGAGGAGATTTCCTTCCGGTTCCATTTGGTACCATCCGGATTTATCGATTCTCTGTCTTTCTGACCCTCTTTGCTCTGCATGGCACTGCCTCCTAAGCCTGGTCCTCCTTCTCTCCTTCGCTCCTACGGTTATCCGTCTCATCCTCCGTTGTCATTTTGCCTAGTTTTGCATAAACCAAAGGATTCCCCAGGACACACGCAGCACAAGGCATTTAGGTTCCATAGGTTCCGACTTCGTTGGCGTATCTTTATTCGGATAGTAGCCTTCTCCCCATTTCCGTTTCCCGATTGCTTCCCTAAGAAGGAGCCGCGACTGGCCCTGCCACCCTACCGAGCTAAGGGACGTGACTTAGTTCCCTTTATCACAGGCTCGTTTAGAGTGCCCCTGTTCAGTCGGGCCGACGCGTAGGAGTCCTGGTTAGGCATCTCGCTAGGGAAAGTTTCCCGAGCAGTATTCCTCTTTTTGACCTCCAGGGTCACGGCAACCATTAGGAGTCTACCCTCCCCCCCCTCTTTATTCTCTAGCGGTTTTTTATCGTCCGGGTCAAAAGGTTCTTCCTTATATCCATCGGTGAGCACCTGTACGTAGCGGACTATACTTGATTTACCCTACTGGCCCGCCCCCGGATGCTAGTCCTGTTCTCGTCCTCGTGGCCCTTCCGGTTCGGTAGGCTCCTCGAATAGTTGAGCCATCCCCGCTAGATAACTCCCTCCTATCTCGATTTCCCTCCGGATTATGTGTTCGTATTCCGCCCAGGCTAGCCGTGACAACCCAAATATCAGGATATGGATAACTTCTAGTAATTCATGGGCCCTCTTTCTCCAGAACGGTGTAGGGGCCGTACCCTGAAGGACTTTCGAGCCTAAGTCGACCCCGCTGCGGATCCCATTTGGCTCGACCCGCCCACGCTCACGCTCAGGGCGCGGGTCGTTCGTCCCAGGGGCACCCCCACCTAGTGCTATGAGATGGATGGGAATGGACCATTTGCGAGAGGGCACCCCCACCTAGTGCTATGAGATAGATGGTACCTCTTTGATCACTCGTGGCGTTTTCTCGATTCGTTTAAGTGTGACCAGGCAATTGCTCCTTCYAATACGCAGGCAGTCCAGGGAGTTTATTGAGAGTTTGTSTTCTTTCGTGTGCAGGCCAAGCGTCATCCATTGGGCCACACACCTTTTCACTARGCATGACAATCCCTACGRMATCATCGGGGATGMGGYCGCRCCGTCCATGCCYCTAGCCCCTATAATTRTTTTYGCTTGACAATCATCCTACTCGCATGTCCATCGTCGCCCTTAGACTTTTCGGGCCTTCGCATTGCACACAAGAGAGTCACCCCATGCATTCGTCATACAATGTCACATTCCATGGTCTATTATGCACTCAAGCTTTCATCCATCAAGCCTTTCCCACATCCATGATCCACGCAAAGCCCACGTCCTTCCCTTGTCGGTTTTCCGGCGGATCCAGTCCCGCTCAAAACCCCTCCCGACCTACTCACCTGCGCAACACCACACAAAGCAATAACCAAGTACGGTCCCCCTTGGGGTCAACACATCGTCTCTTCCCACAAGCCTAAGTTGTCTTTATCCTTCCAATCCCCTGATAACTTCCCTTTCCTTTCCCACAAGCAAGCCATACAGTCCTGTTAGTCATGCAGTCGGGGAAGATGGTTGAGTCAAACTGACCTTGTCACAAAACTTCACTCTTTTCCGTTTTCCCAGATGCTCAGAAAAGTCCGGTACTTTTCCTTCTTGGTGGCACAAGGGACCGACAGCCCTTCCCTTGCCCTCACTTTCCACCAGGTGAGGACCAAGTTCTTTGTCGTTCGTTCCCTGGCAACGTAACAGGTGAGAGGCGAGGTTAGTTATGTGCCAAGGAGGGGTGGGGAGAGAGGGGTAAAGGTTAGGCGCATAGACGGGGGGGGAAGGAAGAAGGAAGAGCGGAAGAGAGGAGAGAGAGAGAGAGAGAGAGAGAGAGAGAGAGAGAGAGAGAGAGAGAGAGAGAGAGAGAGAGAGAGAGAGGGAGGGAGGGAGAGATAGAAGAAGAGGGAAGGACGAGGAAGGAGAGAGAGAGAGAGAGGGAGAAGGAGAAGGAGAGATGGAGATACCTCTTCCGTCCCTATCGCCCTTGCTTCTCGACCTACTCTAACCGGCCCTACCTGGGGTCCCTCGTGTCCCTTGAACGGATGACGATGTCGGAGGAAAATGATAACGTGAGGTGGCCGGTTATCGTGGATGGGTATAGGTGATGGAGGTGGAAGAAGGTGTGAGGTGGTTGGCTATGGTGGACGGGTGTGGGTGATGGAGGAGGAAGAAGGCGGAGGAAGGTTGGCTATGGTGGACGGGTGCGGGTGATGGAGGAGGAAGAAGGTGGAAGAAGGTAGGCTATGGTGGATGGGTGTAGGTGATGGAGGAGGAAGAAGGTGGAGGAAGGTTGGCTATGGTGGACGGGTGCGGGTGATGGAGGAGGAAGAAGGTGGAGGAAGGTTGGCTATGGTGGGCAGTTGCGGGTGATGGAGGAGGAAGAAGGTGGATGATGCTTGGCTAGGTGGATGGTGATGGAGGAAGGAGTGTGGCCATGGAGGGAGGGTGAGGTGATGGAGGATGGAGGAGGTGGATGATGCTTGGCTATGGTGGATGGTGATGGAGGACGAAGCTTGGCTATGGAGGGAGGGTGTAGGTGATGGAGGATGAAGGAGGTGGATGAAGCTTGGCTATGGTGGATGGTGATGGAGGAGGGAGCTTGGCTATGGAGGATGGGTGTAGAAGATGGAGGATGGAGGAGGTGGATGATGCTTGGCTATGGCGGATGGTGATGGAGGACGAAGCTTGGCTATGAAGGGGGGGTGTAAGTGATGGAGGACGAAGGAGGTGGATGATGCTTGGCTATGGAGGGAGGGTGTAGGTGATGGAGGACGACGGAGGTGGATGATGCTTGGCTATCGAGGGAGGGTGTAGGTGATGGAGCACGAAGGAGGTGGATGATGCTTGGCTATGGTGGATGATGATGGAGAAAGGAGCTTGGCTATGGACGATGGGTGTAGGCGATGGAAGAATGAAGGAGGTGGATGATGCTTGATTATGGTAGATGGTGATGGAGGAAGAAGCTTGGCCATGGCGGATGGGTGTAGGTGATGGAGGAGGAAGAAGGTGAACGAAGGTCGCCTATGGTGGATAGGCGTGGGTGATGGAGGAAGGAGGTGGGAGAAGGTCGGATATGGTGGATGGGCGTGGGTGATGGAGGAGGAAGGATGTGCAAGGTGTCCGGCTATGGCGGACCGGTGTGGGTGATGGAGGAGGAAGAAGGTACAGGGCGGTTGGCTATGATGGATGGGTGTGGATGATTGAGGCGG